AGATATATATATATATATATATATATATATATATATATATATATATATATATATATACTCGTATGTGAAAGTACTGTTAGTTTTCTGAGTGTTTTTATCGGGAATCTAATAATTCGAATTTTAGAATTGATTGCCCTTAAATGAACAGAGTAACTTATCTTTAGTTAGTTGTATCAATCATATAGTATTATATTTTTAATAGAAGCATGTTCTTTCGACGAGGAAATTCTAGTTCTAATTTTAAAACATCACAATATTTTTTACGTTACTTCGAGTCGGTTCCCACGAGTATCTCGCGTGAACAGTTGAAAAAAAATAATAAATGATAATCGAATATATCTTTGTAAGTGGATTGTTTTGAAGTTATTAACATCAAAATGTAAAATAAATATCATTCGACATCGTTCAAATACGATAACGTGTAATACAAAAGAAATGTAATAAGACATATTACACATAGTGTAATAACGATAAAATATATAACTTTGATGGCTGCAGCTATAAGAGAGAAAGCATTTGCACCCGGTTTTACCTTTATTTAGTGTGTTTTGTTGTCGCAGTACGACTTAGAAAATACCGATAACTGATTTAACTGGACACTTTTGAAACACTCCGTACATTTTCCGTATTATCTAATTACAGAGCCGAGTGCGAAATGTCGCTGTAAAAATGCACACGTTGGACGATTTCCAGTGGAAAAGGCAACCGACTTATTTCTCTCTCTCTCTCTCTTTCTCTCTCTCGTCCTCGCAACGTAATTATTTCCTCGATGGCGACAACGACGCAAAAATATTCATATAAAATAATCTCCTGTTTTTCCTGCTGCGATCGACACGTAAAACTGTGCGTTGGAACAAAGACTTTAAATAACGTCAGCCGCTTCAAAAAGGGAACAACCGCGCGGGCAATATATATTGCATACGTGTGTATACTACCTCGCATAACCGCATGCGCGAATATATTGAATCGGCGCAAAAGTTCCGCCGCGTATTCCTTATTAATGCAAAATAGCTGCTTTAACTTCTCACCCCGCGAGAATATCGTTAAGAGAAGCAAACTATATTATAAGAAGGAAGCTATGTCGCTAATTATCATTGTCGTTGCGTTTGAACAAGCAAATGGAAGATCTTTCTTCTCCAAATATTTTCACACGTTCGCTTTTTCAGAGCAGTCTTTAGGTCGCGAATTGTTTTATCCGAAGCGTACGAGACGCACATTGCATACCATTACAATTCTGTGAACTAAGTTCTGTAATTCTTTTGAAAAAAAAAAAGAAAATACGAACGCGACGGTACAATTTCACGATTTCACCATAGACAAAATAAAGAAAGTTCACAGGCTGAAGTTAAAATAAAAGACCAAATGTTCAAGCGGACATTTGGCAGCAGAAATTTTAGCTTCGGTATTTACAGGTGGAAACGCGGTGGAACTTAGAATTAACGTAAAAATCAAGTCTAATATAATTTCTCGCGAGATCCAATTGTATGTAATTTTTCACAGTATCCTTGGAGCTCGATTTGTGTCCCAGAAAATATCTAATTGCTCTCGAAATCTTTCTTTCGCGTAATAATATCTAACAGCTAACTAACGACACCGATGGACGAAACGACCGATAGGCGTTCCCCTAAGGGATACGTCATCGCATTTTGTTTAGATATCTAGCTCCGTTACTGTCAAGGTTTGTCAACTAATATATTCTACAAGAACACACGTTCCTCGCCGTCTTTGATATGCTCGAAACGTAGTCCTCCCTTTTAATGAAATACTTTCAAAATTGACCAACCTCCTCTCTCTCTCTCTCTCTTTCTCTCTCCTTCTCTCTCACAGGACTAGATCATCTTAAAAAAGCTATTAGAATTCGTGTCTAAATTGTACAACCAAAGAAGAAGCAGCAGCACTTTTGTTCGATTCGAGTGCCGTCGAAAATCTGGAGAAAAAATCGACCATCTCTCTTGATAAGGTCATTCTCTCTTCTATACGAAGAAATTTATCTAAGGATTATGTATACAGAGTATATAGAGCAACATTAAGTCCTTCAAGATCAAAGATTAGAGACTTTAGAGACGACTTTAAGGAACCACACGAAAAAGCGGGTGTGAATCCGCAAGATTTTCGTTAATAGTATTTTTAAATAATTCTTGGAAGATCTTTGTGTACTTTTTGTAATTTTTTTACTCACAATTTTATGCTACGTGCTATTGCTTTCATTGTCCAGTTTTCAGAACGCTTACGTGCTCTATCTATCCTCAAATCTTTAAAATATTTGTATCCTTGAATTCTTGTAGATTTACGATTTTAAAGTTTCGACTACAGAAACTCTACGCGTATAACTGCTTTCACAGAAATACGAATAATGTATAAAAAATTATTAGAGATTTGATAATGATTAGAGATAGAGTAAAAGGATCGAAACGTTGTGGCGGACTTCTTCGCTGATTGTACTTTTATACATATCATCGTCAGTAGCACAGAAATACGGAGCAATCAAAAATGTGTAAAATGTTCGCTGTTATACATTTACGTGGAAGTATAATTCAGTATTGGATAATTTTCCATTCGATGCGTGTTTCTTCGGATCTGTCGGACTGACATACGAATATCATCGTCCTTCGCGTATCTTTACGCTGCACATTTCACTTCGTACACGTCAACTTCTTTGTATTAAAAAAAAGAAGAAAATCATTCTGTTTCTCTCTCATTTACGAATATATTATCCGTGTCCGCGTTCTTTTCTCAGCGTTTTAGACGTTTCGTGATCGATAATTTTCTTCCCTTTCACGTCGCTCCCTCCCTCGAGAAAGAAACACCACGCAGCTCCGCCACTGACCGATTACCGGTTGAATTCGAGATTTTCACGGCGTGTAGGGAGAGGGAGAGGGATACAAAACGAAAGATATTCAGTCTATGTCGATCACATCCGCATTCTCCGCTGATCCTTTTCGCTGACGTTGCTTCCGGCGCAGCAGGACTGTTTTGAGGAAACTGGACGACCGTGGACCCGCGACTTCCGGCCGCGGGAGATTTTGCTACGCCACTTTGTGCCTCTTCCTCTGCTCTCTCCGCGTCGTGTTCGCGCCGGGGCTTCCCGAGATGCCGCCTTTCTCGCAATCCGCCGTCGGCACGGGTTTCAGTTCTCTGGAAAAGGACAAGAGGATTGAAAGGGAGAGGACATCCTTCGTGCTGTTCCGCGACATCGAGAAATGTGATGACGTCGGTTGGTTACATGCTTGCGAGGATGAATTTCTCCAAATTCATGCAGAAGTTCGTCGCTGCTTTATCAAAGATACGAAAACGCTTCCCTTGTGTTAATGCATTCGATATATTTTGAGTGTAGACGACACCTAGGAAGCAAAGGAAAAATTTGAGTCGTGAAATCAAGCACATTTCGCGAACAACTCAACCCCGCCACGATTAAAAAATCATTTTGTTTCTGTTGACAAGTATACTATCCGTTTTCATCTTTCTTGTAATCATTTCGTGATGAACAACTTTCATATTTTTCTTTTTAACGACACGTTACGTTGCTAATCTTCGAGTGATCAGCTTTCTCGCTCGATTTATCTTCGACTTTCACGGATACTTACAGAAAGCTCGCTAATTCTTAACAATGAACGATGATCTGAAAACTGATATGAATTTATTCGGCCGATTTTTTATTATTGTTAAGCCGATAATATGTTCGGCTTATACTCTCCGTTCGTTTCTCAGATACGAAGATATCACAGTATGAAATCACACATATCACAGATCCTTTAATATGACAAGATCCTTTAATATGACAAAGTAAAATCTACCGTTCTCCCTGAAGCTACACTCGAGTCTCCCTCAACATTCGCGCGGACGCTTTACATCTATAAGCGAAAGAATTCGATTAATTCCGATAAAGACAAAGAGACACGCGTTACACACACTCATACACACATACATACCCGCGCGCGCAGAACGTACATCGATTATTGTGTATTAATCACTCACCTATAATTAAGCAGCTCTTCGTCATCAGGCACTCTAGATATAAGATCGAGGAGCTCGTTATTGGGCACGGAATGAGGCCTGAGGATCTTCCTAGAGAACTTATTGACACCCCAGGCGAGAATCAGGTATCGGACAGGAATGAAATAGAGCACGACCGCGCCGATGATCGCCAAAATCATCGCCAGGTAGCTCAAGTAAGGGATCGTAAAGTTGAAGAGATTCTTCACTCTTTCGCACAAGCTGGCTATGTAGCCGATCGAGTTCTGAACGGTCTGCGTGACCTCTTGAATCGCTTGCAAGCGCTCTTTCAAGCTCTTCTTCTCCTCCTGAAAAAATCGTCGGTCAGTTATTTTAGAAGGCAACGCGACTCACTTTTATTTCAGCAAGTGCTGAAATAACGAAAACGAAAATAAAGAAAACGATCGGCCAAACGATACGAAGATCGAAATAGTTTGGGAATTTCGATATTTTGCGAAAAGTCGCCGAAAAGTCGCCGAAAAGTCGCCGTGTTTCATTAAACGTACACTGATATCTGAAGAATAAAAGATATTTATTCAATGAGTACTAATGGCATATTTAGTTAAATCTAAATTTGTTTATTTAAATAGAATAAACAATTGTTTTCATAAAAAAACGCTCAAGTTTTAAGATAATGTATATTTTCTTATTTATGTGTAAATGAGTAATATGTAATTTATATTTAAATGTATGAATGATATGTAATTTATATTTAAATGTATATTTTCTCATTTATTATCTTTGTACATGTACATTTATTGCTTATATGCCAAGGAGAGATGTTTTCTTATTTGAAAAATATTTTATATTAATGTAAGCGAATTAGAGAGTATCCACCGAATAAGTATATTTTTTATTTCTTAGATACTTTTTCTCCCAGTGTATATGATATCACTGGTGATCCACGTGGGTGTAGATGAGTCACGTAAAATTAGTCCGGCAGAAAACATGTCAATAGTCGTTACTTGAAACTCGCCTCACCTGAGAAACTTCGATTTAAGTTTAGAAGGGCATGAGGTATTTTCAGCTGAATCATACAATACAAATATGACGTCATCATACATACATATACAGGGTGGGCCATTTTACTCAGAATTTTTTAATTAACTTTTTAGTACTGCATTTCCTTGCATTTTCTTGAAGTACTAAAAAGTTAATTAAAAAATTTTGGAAAAATTCTCAGAGCTCTATAAGAAGAAAATAGATAATTTTTCTCTTACTATTTTTTGGTAAAATCGATAGAATTCGGGTAAAAAATTATTGAAACCAATAATTTTGTAAGATATTTCCGTAAATATCTTAGAAAATAAAGGTTGGATAAAAAATGTTTTCAAACAAAAGTTGTTTGCTTCTTTACGTAGAATAAAATTCCATAATAAAAAAATGTATGTTTCTATTTAAAAAAGCAAAACAACCTCGACCTGACCTTGGCGGGGCCACGCAAGGTCAAACCAATAGTACTTTCTTATGTCCATCGATCCATATAACTTTTATCTGAAACATTTTTGTCGGCCGGCCTTAATTTTCGAAATATTCGGCTAGATAAATTAAAATGACCCACCCTGTATACGTATAAATACGTTTATCATAAAGTTATTAATAAATAAAGTGATGTGATAATTATCACGTATAACAAAATTCAGATTCAACTTTTAATTGAGGCAAGTTTCTTCAAGTCGCGACTATTAACGAGTCTATGTTTACCTTATCCTTGTCGTCGTCGTCATCGTCGTCGTCCCCTGGCGTCAACGGACAATCATCCGATCCGATCTCAGCGTGATCTTGAAACTGCGAGGTCGCGTAAATCAAAGGTGCACCCGTCACCACAGCGACCTGTCCGCAAATCCAATGATTGAACCCGCTCCTTTCGCCGCTAAGCTGACGATTAGCAAAGAAATACGACATGCAGCATCGCCGGTAAAGAAAGGAAGCGAATGTATCTTGCTCTCGTAGGTGGGGAGAAACGTTAAATTGTAGAGAGAGAGAGAGAGAGAGAGAGAGAGAGAGAGAGAGAGAAAGAAAGGTATAAATTTACAAAGCATATCAAGTTTTGTTTACAAGAGATGATTTAGAGAATGATTGTTCGATAACCTTGTCATTCTGTTCAAGTTTAATCGAGCCATATCCATTTTTCAAGTACAAAGTACTTCGAATTCTATAACTTCATCGATTCTCCATTTATATATTATCGTAAATGGATCCTTGAATAAAAAAAGAGTAGTATATATGCTCTTCTTTTTAAATCACATAAAAATGTAAAAGTTCAGAGGTATTAAATGTGTGCCAGGCACCCGCAAAATAACAGGGTTAAGGCTCATGCACGATTTATCATCTTTCAATAACGAATTTTTTTAATACTTATTGGACGAGTCAAAAAGTTGCGGCAGTTTCGCAATATAAACTTCGACTGGTTTATTTATACTAGTAATAACATATTTATTTAGCCGAGCGATATCGAATTCGAGTTTTCGTGATATTCGTCGGAAATAGCGAGAAAATAATCTTTCTCGTCACTTGTTTTATTAAAGCCATTATCCATTTCCGAGATAATTATCGTTCTCGTGATTCGAAAGGAGCGCTGCTAAAATTTTTTGATTCGTTCAAACACATGAAGGGGCATTTGAGGGGTTTTCGAGCAAAATTATTGGATGCACGTCAATCTGTAAGAAGCGTTCAGTGCATTTTCTGGGCGATAGTACCATTAATCATTATTATTGTACATACTCATGACCTGTAGGTTTGCGGGAGGCACTAGGGAGCGAAGAAAATAAGGACTAAAGAATTAGAAACAGATGTTTAGTTGAAATATATAGTAAGCGCTTCATAGCATAGCGATTATAAAGTCAGAAGGGTCCACAGAACGTCGTGCTAGTGACAAATCAGTTTTAATCCCTCGCTCCGAGAATTTGATCCGCGAATCGTAGATACGTTTGACTTTGTACTCTTCAGAATTGACGTATCACTAATAATATAATTTCGTGTAATAAAGACCGCGCTAGAGCGGCACATTGGCAATCGAGATACAGACGTATTATCGTGACAGCGAAGGATTATAACTCAGATTATAGAAGTAGGCGTCGCGATAATGACGTACCAGGTAGTACTTGAGAAGAATCAACAACGCCACTGCCGGTATCATGTACGGCTCGAAGTAGTAACATCCAAAGATAAAGATGACCAAGGCGAAGACGCTCCTCATTTTGCTTTCCCATTCCCAGCAGCTCCTAACCGTAGGGAAAAACGGAAAGAAATATCGTAAAGATCGAGATTCTGACTGATTTCGCACGACAGAAACAAAAAGAAGAAAAAACGGAACATAAATCCTTCAGGCCTTTCTATCAAATGGAAAAACACTGAATTCGCGACGCGAATAGTTTTAAACATAAAAAACGTGAATTTTTCGCGCGTCGCGACGTGCGGATTTTGAAAGATAAAATACGTTTCCCGGAAATTAGGTTCTTCCTGCTCGAGATAAAGTCGAGGTTAACTCACTGTATGTATTTTCCTATGTCGATGAATATGACGATAATAGCTTTGAGCCGTAGAACATTTCGCAGAAAGACTTGTCTCTTGAACTTCACTTCCGGTTCCATGTACTTCTTCTCCTTCGGATTGAGCGTCCTCGCGCACGCCCTGAATATATTCCACATGACCGTCATCTCCAACAGGATTTGAGGGCAGTTCCCTTTCGCACGACCTCTCAGCTTCTTGTCTTTCAATGCGTACCATCTTTTCTCACCATTGCGAATCTTTAGCAATGGTATCGCCACTTTCCCGAGGAATTCCACCTTGTGATCGCGATCCTCGTCATACACCGTTACCTCCAGCACGGAATTGATGTCCTTGACGTTGCTGTTCATACAATGAACCGTTATTTCCCGTTAGTTTTTCTCGCTTGAATATTCGATAACGCGATCAGATAGTCGACGCTGAGAAGCGCGTAAAAACGAATGAAGACACTCGTTCAACTTACAAAGTGAAAATTTTCTGCCAGTTCGGCGCGAGAGTCTTGTATTCCGTTTGCGTTTGTAATCGAGCGTTCACGAGCTCGAGAACACAGAACGGGTCGCTCTTTCCGCCAAGATCGGCCGCCGCGAGACCTTGTGCGCGATACACCTGTAGAAAGACAAGCCAATCTCAAGATGGGACCCACGATATGGATGACCAAAAGACTTGATTGATTTGACAAATAGGAAACGGATTTCCTGACGTTCTCAAAGTCTTCAAAAGTTGATGCTCTCACGAAAAGAAATAATTTTGCTCTTTTAACAAAATCGTCATTGCTACTGTATATTCGTAGTGATATTAAAAAAATTTAGTTGACATAACTAATTTTACAAATTATTTGTTATCAGAGCAGAAATATTTTCGTTGCCAGGATAGAAAAAGTTTGTTAAGTGTATTTGTCCTAAGAATCAAGTTAATTTGCTATTGATGCAAAATAATGTATCCTTAGCAAATTTATTTGCTATCGGAGCAAAACTGCAACTGTTTATATAAATCTATTATGGTTCTTATAGCAAAATAATTTGTAGATTCAGCAAATTATATCCAGCAAATAGTGATTAGTACTTTTAGCAAATTTTTTTGCTGTCCACATAATAACGAAAAGATTTTGTTAGACCAGCAGAAAATTTGCTGGGCCAGCAAATTATTTTTCTCCACATTGAAAAATAAAAAAAAATTGAACGAAAGAACTAAGTCATAATTCGAGTTCTCCGAGTTGGAATTTTGGTCTTGCTTTCTCGTCAATATCTTATTTAACGCCTTTTACTTTGATATTCTGAAGCTTATGATTCAATTTAACCTAACTTTACTGAGAACAGAAAAGAAAGTTTTGTTGGATTAATTAAGTTCTGGTGAAATATAATCGATTTGGAAATTCCAGTTGAAATTAGTCGAAAGTCAGGCTAAATTATGAAGATTTCTGGTTAGCGTAGTTTCAATATCAATCAATATCTGTCACTTGAAACTTGTCTCAAGACACTCAGAATTTTTTCATTTAGAGTTAGATCCAATTTTTTTAGTTCAATTATATAATATATGTAACATTTTATTTGTGGAATCGCGATTTAACTGGAAAACTTTCATCTGACTCTGAACTCAGATCTGAGTGTCTCACTTGAAATTTGTCTCGAGTGAAATACACAGATTTGAATTCAGAGCTAGATGTGAGCGGTTCAGTGGCTAAATCGCGATTACAAATTTAATGTCATCTACGTTATATGATACTAATAAAAAATTCAAACCTAACTCTAAATTCAGATCTGAGTAACTCACGTGGAGCAAGTCTCAAGTAACGACTATTAATACGGACTTTGAACTGAATTCTAATAATGTCAATTAGAACTTCTGAGTCATTTATATTTCATCAGAAAAATTGGGTTCATCCAACTAAACTTTTTTCCCATACTAACTTTGCCAAGAGATTTTTAGAATTTATAAATGACGTTTCGTGCGTTTATAAGTAAGACTTCAATCCTAAGTAGGACTTCAATCTCCACGTGTATTAAACGTGTAACAAACCCCGATTACTCAGAATATATAGATGTTGGGAAGTTTAGGTCAAAAATAGACCTAAAACTTCGATTCAGGTTTGGCACAAATGAGATATCAGAAAAGAACGCGAAAGTTTCGCCGAGAGAATTCAGACGATTAATTTGTCGATGTTCTGAAATTGAGTTCCTTTAAATCGATTCAAGTTGCCGCGACGGATCTGGTTTTTTGCCGGTGTAACATTTTAGTGCGTTAGCGCTAATCGATGCAAATCGTTCTTAATTACCTTGACTGTCAAATGGCCGACGTCGCGTACCCTCTGCAGGGTATTCAAGATGGAATATCTCTGGATCAATTGCACGCGTTCCAACGGCGTGTCCTCGTGCGCGGCCAAATCGCTGATCGTCTCGCTGGCGGTGGTGCCGCTGATCGTCAGCAACAGAAAGATATTGCCTGAACCGTCCTCGAGTTCGCGCCATAGCCGATGCGTAGTTTCCCGCTCGAGGGCCGCCAGGTCGATCACTGTTCTCCCCATCAGGTCGTCGTTGTGACTCCTGTCCCGATCCCAGACCGTCACCTCTAGCTCTTGCCCCAGATACGGATCCTCGTAAAGATGCAGGTCGAACTGCTCGAGCCAGACCGGATTCAAGGTCTTGTTAACGACTTTCGACTTGTACTTCTCCGTGCCGAGCCTGCAAATTGGGCTTGTAGAATTCGCAATTCCGATATTCTCCCGACGAGACTAGGGCTTCGTTCAACAATCGCGACTTGAATCTCTCTCGAGTGAAGTTCTGCCACTCAAAGAACATAGAGCGATTATCCGATAGCAAAATGTAAAAACTTCGCGTCTGCCGATAAATAACGGCAGGAGACGACCGGGATGATCGTGCGAGAAGTCGCGATAAGTTTCGTCTTTATAGTGCATTGCATTTACCGGAATTTGACGTATGGATCCGACAAACCGTCTATGTCCATCGGCAACAAATTCTTCGCCTCCACGAGGACGATTGTCACCACCGAGCTCCATATCTGCGATTTCAGCCGTCTATTTACGTCCGCCAATCGATTGGTCCTCTGAAAATACTGAAGAGCAGAAAAATGGGACGCTCAGTAAAATTATCGCCATTCAAGCTAATGTAGAATTTATCCGTGCACACACACACACACGCGCGCGCGCGAACGCGACGCTTACAGATATGCATGTATATATATCGGAGACAATATATAAGCACGATTATCTGACTGGTTTAACGTTTAATCACGATTATTTATTTATCGTATATTGGAAGAGTGCAACCAGACATTGTAATTTATGCAAAGTAGGAGTTCCACGTGACACTCCTTCTTTCGTATGTTAATTCCAAAGTGAGATGTTACTTATTCTACAACAGACCTGGCCCGATCGTTTCGTAGGCCACCTAGACAAATTACAATTTTCTACGGGCCACACATTAAACAATCTTTTAAAAATAAGAAATCAAACACTACAAAAATTGATTTTAATTGCTTAATCTAACTCCCTAATCAATGCCACGTCCTTCATGGATTTGTTCTCGACATTTCGTGAACATTCTAGTCTATTTCTCCAAGGATTGCTTGTTCCAACTCCTTGATAAGTTAACTGATAGTTAAATTATATCTGTCTTTGTTCTTCCTTCAACTTTCAACTAGATAAAGACAGACATATGATTTAACTATCAGTTAACTTACTAAGAAGTTGGAACAACTGGCCTCAAGCGACTTCTTCATTAGAGGAACAACTTAAAACTAAGATCTCTGAGAAAACAATCTCAGGTCGTTATTCTGTTGAAGAAATAAGCTAAAGAATATTCACAAAATGTGGAAAACAAATCACGAGAGATGCGGCACTAACTCGGAGGAGACCAGATTAAGCATTTTACCACGCTGCCGAAATATCACATTCATTTTATTCGTCTGTTTAATCTCATGGCATTTTTCTGTTATGTATTTACGACAGTAAGATATTTGGTTTTGTCTGATGCAACCGGTAATAAAAAGTCATCTCGTGAGCCGTAAAAAATGTATCGAGCTGCATATTAACTAGGCCATAACTATTCCATAACAACCGGTTTGGGCGAAGCATATCTTGGATATCATTGATATATATCAGCCATAATAAACGTGATGGAAATGTTTGGACGGGATAGAAAAATGCGCAACGGCGTAAGCGTGGACGACTACCCTGTGAATGTCCTCCATCTTCTCCTTTACGTTGTCCTTCAGCTTGTCCAAAAGATCGTTATTATGACGTTTGGTCTCCCTCGCTTCCGCGACGCCGGTGGAGTCGTTTGATACATCGATCGTCACGTCTTCGTCCCGATATTCGACGCGCAACGTAGGAACAACCTTCTGCTTCTTCGACTGCGCGATCAAACTCGCCAGCTCGAGTCGATTCGAGCGCGAGGAACTGGTTCCTCGTGATGGCTGCGGATGTTCCGCTGTCTTGCCGTCGGCTCGCGGTTCTTCATTTTCCTCGATCGTCTCGCAGTTGTATGTAGACTTCGACGCGATATCCTGCTCGTCATCTCCTTGATGCGTCACCAGAGTATAACTGGTGGTAGGTTTGCGGTGATCAGAGATCCATGTGTCGATCGGCTGTAGCCACGGGTGTCTCTCCATGTTCTCCTCCCGGATCTTGCTCGAGATTCGCTCTACGCGATCCTCCACTATCCTCTCCATCAATTCGATTTTCCGCTCGATAAAGTCCTTCAGCGAGTCCTTCGTCTTCTTCTTTTGCATCCTGGACAATTCCTCCTCCTTCCATCGACCATCCTTTGTCGATACTCGATCCAGCTTCGGTTTTTCACTCAAAGTGCTCGACGTCTTCTCCTTAGTTAGAGAAACTCCTTCAGTGGAAGACGGTCCTTCTTCGGTCGTTTTAGTCGTTTCAATCTTCGTTGCTTCTTCGATCGCCTGTTCGATCGCAGGCGAGTTCACGGCGACGCTCAGTCCTTCCGAATCTCCATCGGAATCGCTCTCCGTTTCGTCTACGTTCTGCTCGAGCTTCTTTATTGACGTGTCATGTTTGCTCGCCGCTGTCGTGACTGGATATCTTCTTTGCCGATTCACGTGTGGTTTCCGCTGTAGTTTTCTGATAGGCGTGTCGACATTAGACATTACCCGAGTCGCGGACGCCGTCTCGAACTTCGAGATATCGTCTACCAAGTTTCTGCTCGGCGTGGCGTCCATTTCAGGCACGATATTTGGTTCACTTCCGGTACGCGGCTTGGTTCCGACGAGATCTGTTTCCTGTATGGTATCCATTATTCACACATGCTCATTATCTGCTTATTATCTGAAAACCGCCGAATTGTTTTTATCAGACGTAGTATCGGGGTCGCACATTTTGCCAATCATCGTCTTCTCGCGATATTCATTTTCAAGCATGACGTCAGGCTACTAAGCGTACTGCTATCAACTCGAGATGTAATTAGCGATCGACGAATTCGCTGACGCGCACTAAGAGAAAGAACTGTTGTTGGCTTCACAACAAGTGGTAGACGTTTTCGGCGCCAGACATGTCTTTTGATTGCTTTGATAAAAAAGTAACAGCAGCAGTATTCACTATCCTTTCATTTCATATATACTACGTATATTTCAGGGATTGAGAGTACTATTAAAACACTTGGCATGTTTCTAGTGAAATCTACTATATTTCTAGCGAAATTTATTGTTTCTTAGCAAGATATACTTCATTGACAGTTTATTACTGTACGTTTTACTATGTACTACAAAATATATAGTAAAATGTGGATAAAAAACTTATATGAAAAGAAACTATAATATTCTCTCCGTCTACCAAATAAGGTTATGATAGCGTTCACTACGAGAGAAACAATGGCTTTCCTGGTAGACCTCATAAGTGATAAACATTTTCGGCGCCGGAAATGTCTTTTAATTGCTCTGAAAGAAAGTTGGAGCAGCAACGTGTATATATCAAGTCACTTGTAATAGCGTTATAATTTACTACAAGAAGACAATGCTTTCCTGATTATAATACTTTATCACGCGATTGTAGTCACAACACATCAAATACTTCTCTGTTGTAGTTTCCCGTCGCTTTTCAATGTTACATCATTAATCCGCGCTGGTGAGTCACGAGGAAGAGACATGAACGAATAACTAGATCTCGCGATACACTATGCCGGCGTGTTGTTGGCGTGTAGGCAATTATTCCGTCTCTTTTATTGCGAGTCACTATGGCGAGCCAGTTACTGACGCACAATTCATTTCGAAGTTGTCGGTATCGTTGCGTCGGATAGGCACCTCACTGATAAGCAAGTGCAATTATCGTGCTTACACATGTCAGACGTCAAACTGTACTGTTTGTCAGGCGCACTTGGCCGGCAACTGATGGACGGTCGTGCTCTCAAGTCCGTCCCAACTGCGCTTTCTTCCCCTCTCTATTCGCACCAGGAAACTATTCCTACAAGGATGTGTTCCGATAAACATTGAGACACTGTGTATACACGATGATGTAACCGCACGAGCGCGGTATACTCAGGTCTTCACTTGTGGAAATATCGCACGACGCGCTGTGAAACTTGCGCGATCCAGAAGGAGAAATATGTCTCATCGGTTGAATAATGATGTTCGCGTAGAAGGTCACGAGAATGAAGGGCAAAAATGAGCTAGTCTTTGTAATATAGAGACAAATAAACTGTCAACTGATGGCAGAATTCAACCTCGATTGAAATTAGTCGCCTTTAAAGAATTTTTAACGCACGAACCTGAACCTTTATGATATGTTGAAAAGTATTGGTAAAAGGAACGAAGTCTTAGAATTACGGAAGTTTTGTTTACGTAGAAGGCCTCGAAAAGAAAAGCAAAAGTGAGCTATTTTCTGCAATAAGAGACCAATATGCATTCAATATTGTAAATTAGTGGCAGAATTTACACATCAATCGAAATTAGTCACTTTTGAAAAATTTTTAATGCATGTTAAATCTTTGTAATATACTGAAATGAACGGGTAAAAAGAAGCATATCTTAGAGTAACGGCAATTTTGTTCACGTAGAGGAGTTCGAGAATGAAAGAAAAATGAAATATTTTCTACAATACGAGGCAAATATTGTTAGTAGTGTAAAGATATCAGAAAATGATGATAAAATTTACGTATTGATCAAATCTAGTCAACTTAGAAAATGTTTAACGTGTCTTAAACTTTTTTAATACGTTGAAAAAAAACGAATAAAGGAAATCAAGTATCGGAGCTATAGAAATTTCGCTGCATTGCAACTGCAATGAAATCAAATTGAATGAAAATCGAGACGAATCGACAATCTGATACAAGAATTTGAAATACGAGATTATATTAACAGAGATTACATCAACAGAGCCTATTTAATTCGGTTGGAGTTATTTCGGTGAATTTTTATCATTTATAGCACAGAAACGATATCTCGAGTCAGAGATGTATCTTCTGCAAAATTGATACATTGATCAATCGTCACATGATAAACCCTATATAGTAGAACTTACTTTGTATTAAATATAAAGTCAGCGCGCGCGCGGGCGCACGCATACATGTGTTAAGATCGTGTTCCAAGGCCTAATAAATCAAACGGCCGGCACAAAGTCTAACAAACGAGCCGCGATGCGCCAACGCGCGCGGTATGCGTTGCATACGAACGTCGTATCGCGACACGCAGGCAAGATCGTGCGCGCGTAAATTGGTATTAATTCGCGAATTGGATTTAACGCGTTAAAGCGCAACGGTGTGGCAGTACGGCCCAGGGGTCCTCACTTACGTCAATTATTCCTCCGTGGAACGGCGGAATGGCGTTTAATAATAGTTAATACGTAAGTGGAGCTCCACGATAAGGGCTAATACGGGCCAGGCCTTGCACTCTACTTTCAACGACAGGCAACGGCGACAAGTCGATACCGTCGTCGTCGTCGTCGTGGTCGTCGTGATACGAACGCGGGCGCGTACTTCCCTCACACAACCCAGTTTCCCGATTCTTCATACACGCTATAAATATACGCACGGCAACACAACTATCCATCCGCCGAGATACCGTGCGCGATCAGCGCGTCGCGATCGCTCGTTGTCGTTATTTCGCTACCCCTGTGCTGTGCTTAATCCGCTGTAAGACCGTGTAAGGCTGGCGTAAGACACGCTGATCGCGCTTTTACTTTTATTCGCGCCTCTCATTTTCGCAAAAATTCGAGGAGGAGATGAAGTTAGCGTAGTACCTGCTCTTTTTCCTGCTGATTTCGCGGCCAAAGCGTAGCCGTCAAATAGATTTCGCCTAAATGCTGCTTCGGTCTGCTCGGATCTTTGAGCTCTAACGTGATGTCCTGAGGATGACCAAGCTCCAGCTGCGTCAGGTCCAGCTGAGCAGCTCCCATGAAATCATCCTGCAGGCCCCAATCGTAGTCGAAAACCTATCGATATATTTGAATCCTCCCGATGATGGTCGTCGCAATGCTCTCGCGAATCATTTTTCGACGTAAGGTTTTTAGTTACATATTCATGCCACGACAATGAATTCGCGTCTCTGTTGTCAAATAAATATACTTAAATGTATCGTCCGTAAATATGTTACTTTCGTCAAAATACTGCGAGCAGAATATATTTTGCGTAATGCATCAGAAGCGAATTGTCATATTGACGTTTCTCTTTGAGGTTTACTTCGTATTAATTTAATTTATATTATGTGCACATATAAATTAATTATGTCAACAATTTGTTAATTTCGCTCTAACGGTTCACCGCATTGCGGAACGTTAAAACTTCTATAAACTAATTAAACAAAAGGTTGGAATAATGCATCTCATTAATCTGACTAATATTCACCGTTAATTAGTTCGTGTGAAGTCATGAGAAATATGTTGTGCGTGCATGCCTGCGTGCGTGACATAAAATGAGTTTATCGATCGATTTGTGTTACGTGTGGTATTTCTTTACCGTATTTTGCGAGAATTCGCAAGGCACGAAACCAGCGGGAAAGCTTCTAAAGCAAACGCCTCGCTTCTGGCACATCGTGTAAAAATATTCTGCTCGCAATATTTCTACGACAGACGTTGTTACCTGTGCATTGGCTACATCTATTTCGGTAACAACAGGCACGAACTTATTATCATGGCGCATGTGCGTGATTTTTGTACTAATACGGGAAATGGAGTGAAGATACCTTGATAGTAAGCGCCTGAAAGGGATCCTCTATGGGCAGGGTCACGCTTTCGTCCCACACCGGATTTAAGTCGCGATGAACGGTTCGTGATTTGTGTAGCAGTCGCCCAGAACATTTCACCTTCACGTAAGGATCGCTAGCGCCTGAAATGACAAAGCACTTGTTCATAAACTCACATTGCAATGTTTCATAGTTTGCGCATCGACAGGCATTGTATTACTTTATCGTCATAGTAAAGCAACTGCGAGCTTTTCACCTATATTTAGTCAACACAGGTTTTCAGCATCTCAAAAGAATCTGAAAATTTGAATTTTTAGTCAAAATTCTACTTGACTTTTCTTCCTCGGAATCTTCCTACAATCTTCCCACCAAGTTTTCGTCCGGTCTCCGGATAACAGAAAGTCAATTTTACAAGAACAGAGTCTTTTCCGAAAGGTCATAAATGAACAAAAGGATTTTTACTCATAACAATAGGCGCAAAATGTACGTAACATGCAATAATAATAAAATATTAGGACCGCTGCAATCTTACCGCATCTGTCCATTGCAACGAGATTCGCGCCTCTCCTTATATGCAAGCGAAGCTGGAAGAAAGCGTGTTGCCGCAATGCCATTTCTCTCCTCCGCACCAGCTCGTCCTGAAGGAACTCCCCGCCATCTTGGCTCACAGAGCCCCGGGGTCCGTCACTGGACCCTTCCTTCTGGCTCTGAAAGCTCAGGGATCCTTTGGAGAATCCCTCGCCGCATTTCCCGGCGCTGTCTTCTTGCATGGCCATGACCTTCTCTCTGCCGCCGCGCGCCAGTGGAGATTCTGCGCGTTCGAAATATTTCGCGATATACGTGAGAGACTGTATTAGAAGCATAAACGATCAATTTTTCGATCTTTATCTTGATGAAGCCCCAAAGGAATAATATTTCGTAGTTAAAGGTATCATTTCTCAAAGCTTTCGCGAACAATAAGCAATCGATTAAAGTGTAAATATGAGCTTAATTAGGAAATCGACTGGAAAACATCATTTCAAGTAAAGGAAGTTGTTAAATAGTATCATATCTGACAACGTGAGAGTCATGTTTTCCTATAGTTTTCGGTATACAGAGAGATAATTCTATAGTAAAAATTACTATAGCATTTTGTAACTGAGAACGTTTGATATTCTGCAATAATCAACTATCTTTTCATTTTATATATGCTATTTACATTTTACGAACTGAAATGTGCTATTAAAACACTTGCTATGTATCTAACAAAATTTCTTAGCAAGATAGATCTTAGTGGCAGTTTATCTCTGCACTAGTAAAACTAAAAAGAATTTATATATAAAAGAACTGTAATATTCCCTTCATGTAAGAGATCTAATCAGATTCATCGTACAAGTCTCAGATAACATAGAACCTCCTGAGATTATCCTGGATATACTCAGAACATAAAGCACTTCTCAGGACTTCTTAGGCACATGGATCAGGATGATTCTGGAACATTTATTGCTGTCTGGGATTATTTTATTCCTTCATTTTTTCATGTACTGTTATGGATAATTTGGGAAACATATTTCCCCAAAATATTAGGAATTATAAGCCAAATTTGATCAATCCCGGCTAGAAATTTATCCCGTGATCCTAATAAGTTATGTAACGCATAGCAATCAATTAATAATGAGGATTATTAATAATATTTGGATTATTAATGATATTAATAAGGATTAATGATATTGGAACAATTATAAGGATTATTAATGACATTGGGATCCAATATCATTATCTTGTATAAACTGATTGGGATCAACCTGGACAGAATCATGGAATATGTTTTTTGAAATAACAACGAGGAAACGTGACTTTTTTCCATATTCAAGATATGACACTTTCTCAACATCCTGCCGATTCGCGCGGAATAAAGCAAACTGCTGGAGCAAAGAGTGAAGGGACGTCGCTCACCCGAGTGATTGAGGCAATGCCTCGCCGGACTCTGGGTGGCCGAGGAGCTTCTGCTGTGCTCGGAGGAGTAATCGGCGGCATAGTCGGACTCGACGCCGGGATTCTTGAGCTGGGCTGCGTCCTGCGACTGCACGCTGCCGGCATCTTTGGATTTCTTTCGCTCCTTGCTCCGACTGCGCGCCCAGCGACTCTTGAGAGTCGCGAAGAAGGTGTGGGTGCGCTGCGCCACCGACGTAGCGTGATAACGATGCCGATGATGATGCACGACGCTGCCGGACTCGCTCGGTCCACCACCGCGCCTCGATGGCGAACTGTTGGCGATCTCGCTGTCGCGGAGCTCCGTGGCGCTTTTCGAGAGCTGACGACTCCCGTTCAGATTCAGTCTGGATCTCTCTTGGACGCGAGAGTTATCTGGGGGGTGAGGGCAAACGCGTCCCGATCAAGTTACTCGTCTTAGCGAGCAATGATGGATGCGCGACAGAGTTTCCACTCGATATAGTCGCCCGTGCGATACACGCGGAACGAGGCGCACGCATACTTCCGTCGAGCACTATTAGAAGCGGGAGATACGGTATCAAGTTCGCAGACAAAGGGAACTAGCACGTAAAGCAACCTGAGACTCTCGTCCTCTCGATTCTCCCACTTATCGACGCATAATCGAAACTTTGATTTGCCGTTAATTAGATGCGTACATGCTCAAAGCAGCGCTATTAGTCCGAACAAGTGATCAAGCCTTTATGTGCCAGTGTAATTGGCTTTAGGAGTTTCGACATTCCATTCCACACATGCCAATTTTGTTGGCAGTAGCGTTAAAATTGTTTTAGATTCGAGTAATAATAGCCAATGTCTGTAAAAATCTGCGCAACATAGAAGAGGGCAATATAGAATAAGCTTTGTGTTTATCTTTAGGTGCGTACATGCTCGCAGCAGCGCTATTAGTCCGAACAAGTGATCAAGCCTTTATGTGCCAACGTAGTTAGTTTTGAGAGTTACAGCATTCTATTCCACACATACCTATTCAATAGCATTAAAATTGCGCTAACATTCGAGTAAAATTGTAGGCTACAGTCGACTACTAATAAATGGATCCCTTTCAAGTGTCAATTTTTGACGGTATGAGAAAATCACTAATGTGTAGCAAAAATCTGCGCAACGCAAAAAGAATCAATATAGAATAAGCTTTGTATTTATCTTTAGGTGCGTACATGCTCGAAGCAGCGCTATTAGTTCGATCAAGTGACCAAGCCTTTATGTGCCAACGTAACTGGCTTTGAGAGTTTCAGCATTCCACGCATACCAGATCTGTTAGCAGTATCGTTAAAATTGCGTTAGATTCGAATAAAATTTCAAAAATAAAAAAACTATTGGCTGTCCACGAATAGATTCCTTTTAATTAATTTTTTACAATTAGAGAAAATTGCAAATGTCGTGCAAAAGTCAGCGCAAATCTAGAATAGCTTTATGTTTGTCTTGCAAATACACAATATTGCTCGTTGAAGAAAGGTAGAAAACGCGCACGATATTGTCAGAAATGAAAAAGTTCATTGGAAAACGCGGAGGGAGTAGAAATCGTGCGAACAAGCTCGGTGATATATATATATATATATATATATATATATATATATATCGTCTAGACTTTACGATATCCCATTCCCGGGGATGTTCTTCTATAATACGAGGATTGCATTCAGGCGACCATTCATTTTACTGAAAGGTGAATCCGGCCACCCGTTCGTCGTTAGCTATTACGGGACCGGAGGAGAAAAATGAAAAAAGCTTTATCCGCGTAGGAGCTGCGTCTGCAGATGCAGAAGATCACGCCTAATATGCGCATACCCGACATTGTTAGTTAGTTTCTGCGTTAGCGCTTCGAGCTGCAAATCGGCGGGTTAAGGTCGTTGGTAATAATAGTCGTTCACGCCGAACGAACGATGTCGATGCGACCAATAATACTCATAAATATCGTTAAATTCAATTAATATAAAAGGGAATTTCTCTTATCGACGATAATTTCATCAGCTGAAAAGATGAGTCGCGAAATTAGACAGACAGACTGAAAAGATAGCGGAAAGTTGGTAATGATGGCGGATACCTTGATTAGATGTAGCACATGTACCGTTTTGTTCAAATTAATAATTGTTATCATTAATAAATAGTTGTCTGTTTTAAATTTATTTTACTTACTTAACCCAGTAAAAACAACTATAGAGGATATTAAAAGTAAATACGTGGTATTAAAAGTACAAAAGGAAAAAAGTAAATTAAAGATAAATGGTTAAGTTAATGAAGTGGTTAAGTTAATGAGACTTGCTTGAACAAGTAAAATTCGTTTAAGTAAACGTTTAAGTCAATTGAACGAATTATATAGTTACTATGATGACGATTGCGATTTGGTCAGTAATTATAAAATTTCGACAAAATTTATTGTTGCATTAACGCATAATTTGTTCAACAGACACAATATTTCTTTGAAGGCGAGCAATCGCCGATTTTATCGATCTAACTGCTTTTTTTCTCAGTGTAGGGCTAGAAACATAAAACCAATCTTAACCGAGGTTAATTAACTACTGCATAGGCACGCCTTGCTGACAGAGTAATTTGACGTGGTGTGCACGAACGACTCACACACTACATATACGCCTATTCTGAATAAGCTTTAATGGGACGAATGAGTGTCGTGATGTGTAACGAACACGTGTTTTACAGTCAGTCCGATTGCACGTATCTGATTTCCCGCGGTTGCCTGTTCGTCTCTCTACGTTGATTTTAGAACTGTCTTAAATTCAGATTGAATTTTTTTTGCAAAATAGCGACTAGCACAATAATTATACACACACCGTATGGAAAGTTCCTCTTGAATTTTTCAACTAAAATTGTTTTATCGAGAGTGTGAAATTTATCGGAATTTGCCGAGGAATTCGTCGAATTTTTAGCTATATTTATTTTATTAATATTATAAAACAGTGCTACATTTATTGATATTATAAAACGATACATGTGTTATATTCAATCAAGGATGTTTCATCGTTCTTCATCCAACAACTTTTAAATACCTTTCAGATAATTGCCTGAGTTTGAAGTTATAAAATTACTCAGTTCTCTTGAACCAATAAAATAGTCAATGATCCTCTCTCCGGCTGTTCTTCGATTATAGCGAAAACCATCGACTTTAATTGCCTTGTATCGGTCTTGCGTAAGAAATAAATAAAGAACGAGTACTCGACGGCAAAATTGGGTTAATGGATAATTACGCTCGTGACTTCTCTCATGGCGCAATCCGCAAATGTGTCCTGCTGGTCAAGGAAGGTGGGAAATGGTTGTAAAACATGAATACGCATTTCCGACGATAATGAATTCTCTCCACTCTGCAAAACGCGCGAGACGCACGGACACGGGGTAAATTACTTTATCACTGAAACACGCGAAACATTACTTATGAGAGAAAAAGAGAAATAGTAGTTTATTTAGTCTTTTTTAATGCGTTTTTAATGCGTTTAGGAGGCGCGTAAAATTATGCGCGGACGGAATATTCCGAGACCACAAATGAAGGCAATTTTTTTTCCATTAACTAAAACGTTACACGGAGTGTCAAGAATGTTCGTAACATTTTACGATGACATTTTTAGTAGTAAGAAGTATTATCAGGAGTGTTTTCCTATCGACAAGACACACGTCACACGTAGTTTGAAATCATTCGCCCAGTACACGTCCAAATATACGATACGTTGAATATTTCACATGAGGTTTCCCCCACTGACAAACGGAGAGAACTTAACGTTAACTTTTTACTTTTCTCCTACACTCTTTCAGTGAATCGGTATTTTGAGATTCCGCCATATGTCAAGAGTGTACAATCGACAGCATTGATTCTTTTCAAAAAGGTATTTAACCTTTTAACGTTTCTTACGACATCGTCGTTATGAGCAATATTACATCGAGATAAACTACGAGAAGACCGTGTAGCAACGCCCATTATTATTCACTCCCGCTTATTCAATTACTTAGACGTTGTTTGTTTCGCGAGGAAGTTGTTTAGCACCCGAGCTTATATTTCAAAGTTATTTTTGTATCTCGCATTTATTTATTTTCAATAAGTCTTTTTGTCGCAAAAATGATACAAAATAAAATAATAGTAAAATATATATATATATATATATATATATATATATATATATATATAAAATATGTATAATAACGAGATACTTTATTTGATATCGTTTCAGCTGTGATGTATACTAGAAATGGAAGGGAAGAAAGACAGGAAGGTAGATTTACTTTGACACAGAGATCGCGCGATTATTTTTGACCCTTGGCCGAGTTGAGAGCACATCTATGTAACAGAGAGACCCGGCGAACTAAGGACTATCAATGAACATAAGAGGAATACACGCGCTTCTAAAAGAATGACAAGGGAAGTACATTATATGTACTTCACATAGCCATGTAAGCATATCGATCTGTCTGTATTATTGAGCATAGTAATGCGTTCGCGTATGTGTCTTTTAAAAGGCTTAGCGTGCTACCTATTGTATCCCAGAAACGACAACGTGTCAAGCAATCGATATAAATTTCCGACTCGTATAATAACCAGCTTGGCATTTGCTTCTTGGTGAGTAGACTCTTCTCCGTGCCGAAAAATTGAACATTGTGTAAATAGAAGTCATGTAACCTTTATTTTAGCTCTCCACAGTAAATTTTTACTATTTGTCCTAGGAAATGGAAAAATATTTGTAACACTTCGATGCGAACCAAACAGTATATATAGTCCCATAACTCGCGCTCTCTTAATTTTAACGACGGATTCTCCGGTAAATTGATTCTTCAAAGGTTGCCGTCTTTCTAATTTTCTTCTTAATTTCCAGCATTGTATATCTATACCTTTCGATTTGTGAAGAATGTAACTTTATGATCCACTTATTTTCCGGAGATTTAGCCCGCGAAAAATCCTTCATTCGTGTCTTAATATAAATTAGAGAATGATCAGTGCGCCAGAGTATTTTTGCTGGGAAAGAATCGACGCAATTCGTCGAAAAATATACCGTTGAAGTAAAATTTTCGCAAGTTGCACACAGAGACACCGTGTATACACGAACGACGTGTCAAAATATGCAGTAACATGCAGTGCGAAAATTACACGCGCGGTACGACGTCCGGGAGTGCAGCAGGCAAATACGATCGACGTTTATTGGATTTTATCTCCCTTTCACCGGAAATCATCTTAACACGCTAATGCATCGCGGAAATCAATCCGATATTCCCCGTCATCTAGTCAGGATATCGCATCTGCCGATACGCAGATACAGAGAAGACCCTAGACTGCCGTTTTATTATTAACAATAAGTAGCAATAAATGAAAAATATATGAAAAAATAAAAAAAATAAATATAAAATAATAATAACAATGATATTGATACGATAATTTTGATGATGATAAAATAATTATTACATAATTATTATACTGTAATTTTACGTTCACGGAATTCATATTTTATGCAATGTATAATTTATTTCAAACACAATTTGCGAGACAGTGATTTTATCGTGCCATTTCACATGTACCTTATTTTATTTTTATTATTTTACTATTTTTCACTATTAATTAGTCTCTTCAATTTCTTAGAATGAATTTCTTACTTTCTTTTGAAAAGTAGAGTGACCACCGAAACCCCTCGAATTTGAGCGATTTTTCACTCGAAATTAAAAAATGAATTTGACGCACTCTTTCGTCATAGGAACATGTTCGTTCTGGTCGATTGAAACATTCGCTCATATGCAGTCAGAGTTCGTTCTAAGTTTGAGCGAAACATTCATCCTTGCGATTTCGAGCGACAATATTTCCACTGTTGCTTCGAATTGCTTCGAATTCTTGGAATAGAATCTCATTCGTTTTCAATGAGATTTCACTCCAAGAAATTTAGTGAACACGATAATGTACTTGGATTAATATATGGAGTCTACATAAATTCGAATCGTTTTTACCGAGGTTTTGAGAAAAAAGATTTTGCTAAGACGAGGTCTGTTCGACTTTTACCATGAAAAAATATGACGCAAATCCTGATTCACGTCGCGAATCCTGATTCACATCGAGCCGCTGATACTCACCCGCGGGTACTGGCTCACTGTCCTCCGATCCAGCGAGTAACTCTACGCTCTTGCTCATCTTATCCTCCGAAGACACGAATTTCTTCTCGAGACCGTTGCATGCGCGCCTTTAGTCTCTTCTTGAAGTGCACTAATCCGCCACATTCCGACAGCATGGTTTAGCCGGTGGATTAATAAGACCCAACAACATCGACCAACCGACACATATTCCTCACAAAGTCCACGTGATCCTCGATGACATCGATAACTTCTACGATATTCGGTGCAATCAGTGTTTTCTCGTCCTTCCTTTACTTACATATTATAATCACGTCTCATAAAGTTACGTATAAAATATAATCAAGCGTATCTAAATTAAATAAGAGAATAGAAAATAAGTCATGGAAAATATTATTATATAACAGACACTTGAGAAGCAAAAGGCTGCTAGCTGAATAATATTCTTCCGAATTAATTCGAATTTTGTTGCACACATCCAATGAAACGAGATACAAGAAACACGACGCGTCGTGTATGAATTACGTATCTTCAGTGATTTGATCGTCAATTAAGCTTAACTGCGCAATCAACGGAAACCAAAACGACGTGTCAATGAGACGCGATGGTATCATGGTTCCGACCGCCGGCGTCACCACTGCGACATTCGACGTGTTATTGTAACACGCAGAATGACACGATAAATTCAAATGTTGGCGCCGGTTTCGCGCGTCGATCTCCCCCGAACTCGGAGATTTGAGATCTTGCCAATATTTTGACGCGTGAACAACGAGGACGAATTGTTACGGCTCTCTCCTGGCGGTTGCTCGTTCCCCCGTGATATTCGCGCGGTGACCTTTGCGCGACGATAAATTGCAGCCTCCGTTCCGGGCGTTATCGGTATCGGAACACCGATATTCGCGCTCGCTCACAATCTCCTCCTCGCGTCGAATTCTCCGACTCGTTTGTGTTCGACGTGGTATCGCGTTTGTGTTCCACGATGAAGGAGGTTTAATAAGTCTCCCCGAATAAAACAAGTACAAAAACGAATCTTTGGGTGGCCGAGATCGATAGGTCCCCGTTTTGATTAGAAAACTTTCGCGAATGCCTATCGTTCATCTTTGATGCTTCGAGCTGAACTCTGCTTATTATTAAGAGGTCTTCGGCAAGATTAATGTCAACGATTAATGCGGTAACGAGAATTAAGATTAATTAGAATTAATATTTTGATTAATTTTTATTGATTTAAACGTTTAATTAATTTAAATTAAATTTATTCCGATTGACAAAACTCGAATTAGAATTTTATCAAACACAAGCCAATCGCAATTGTCTTCCCGACGCGAATAAGTGTCAGTAAATAATGTGAGAAGGAAAATGAAAGTATATACCACGCAAACTGTGAAAACAGAGGTCGATGACGACCACTCGCGATTAACCCTTCGAGTGCACACATCTGGCGGGCGAAACCAAGAGCATACAGATATAAATTTGCACCAACGATTGTTATCGACTTATAACTTTACTCCGTGCGCGCGCGAATTGATCAAATTAAATTTTTTAACTTTAATTTATTTTTTAATGTAAAAGAAGAAGATTAGAAATTTGACGGTGATACTGTAAAAAACTATATGAAAATAATAAAAGAGTGAAAAATTGATCTACATTTGATTGTATTCCGAAAAGAAATCATCTCTTGAAGAAATCGATAGTGCACGTTTGCACCACAATACGCTCGAAGAGTTAATATATTCTCTTTTGAGGATAGAGATAAATTTAAATTATATATAATCTGAATATTTTCTATTAAAATTTAAGTTACATTAACTTCGTTAACAGAATTTATAGTTTAATTTGATCGAAAGCCAGCTTATCGCGGTTTTCTTCCCGACGCGAATAATATCAGTAATACCGCGATAAGAAAAATAAAATGTACAAACCGAAATTTGCTGAAAACAGAGTCTGGCGACGATCGTATTGCGACTAATATTCTTTCGAGAACCCATTCGCGAATTGTCGGCCAATGCGTGGGAGAACTTCCGACAGTTCACAGCGGTTCGATCGGACATACCTTCCTCCCGCGAATTTTCAAACCTAATTTGCGGCAAATTAACCGAGAAATCAAATCTCGTAACTCGTCCGCGCGCCTTGCCTCGTCGAGAGAACTATTTTTCCTTTAATTATACAATATTTTAGAATTATGTATATCTCGTTACTTCCGTTCCTCGCGGAAAGTTTAATTACAGAGAGAGAGAGAGAGAGAGAGAGAGAGAGAGAGAGGGGGGGGGGGGG